ATTATACAAGTAATCCACCTTAGAGTACAAGCAGGCCATGCTTATTGGAGTATGAGTTTACTAAAGTGCCCTTTGTGAGATGATGATTACATTCGAATGTGTTGTTAGTGATAGTTTCACCCATTTAACTATCCGTTTAGTACAATGATAAGACAAAAAGGAAGTGGAGTAAATTGGTGTAAAACTATCTGATTGAATTAAATGTGTTTAAAATAATATTAATGGGTCAAAGTAGAAGAACCATTTGAAAACTATTTATGAATTGTAACCTGTTTGTACTCTTCATAGTTAAAACTCAAGAAACATTAATTGAGTTCTTCCAACAAAACACACTCATTTGAACAAGTAATTGCAGCATGTTAAATAACTCATTAAAGTGTGGGAGATTAAGAATCATTTGAGCTCAATGGTACAGCTGTAACTGAAAACCCCTTATCTTTCCCACCATTTGTATATTAGTTTCTGAACTAAGTGGCAATAATGGTAGTCATTAATATATAAAATTAGGGGTTCAAATGTTTCTATTTCACACCATTAGAGTCAGATTTGTAGAGGTATGCTCATTTTCACTCGTGCTTCTCACTGTGTGAACTGTATAGCTTTGTTTGCACAATAAAATTCTTGAATTAGCTTTTGTCATAACTATTGCCAATGGGTAAAGTATGGGCAGATTTTCTTGTTAGATTGCATTTTGTTTCTCAAGATACAAGGTAATTGTGTATTTTCACTTGATGCATGTAATCTTCTGTTTAAATGCAATTACAATTTTATTGCATTGATTACAACTATATGGGGTCTTTAACAAGTGTATGGATGATTGATCAAATTTTAGAACTGTAATACAGGTGATGCAATTTTTTATTTCAATAGTTAAGTGCATGAGTTGGTATGTGTGTGGATCGAAATTGCTATTTGAATAGACAAGTTCCTATATTCATATGCTATGTTATTGTCTTATTGAATTTAGTTGAACTCATGAAACATAAGTCTTCAAAAGTAACAACAAAACCAAGCTCCATTCCAAAAGCTCCGACTTTAGTTACTAAAACTCAAAACTCTGCCAAAGGCACTCAATTACCAACCAAGAAGCACATTACCTAGAGAAGCAGAAATCTAATTGTGTCCTTTCTCATCCTATATCACCGACTCTTCAATATAAATGATTGCAAGACGGTTACCTCAATTATTTATCTACTTATTCCCAGGACTACTATTTTATCTATCTATCGATGTAAATAATATGAGATTGAATAGTAGAATTATTCAGCGTCAACTCTCAATTTGAACTACAACTATGTCTACTATCCCTTCACTATGGTTGCATAAACTTTTATAATTCTCTTAACTGATTATCTACTATAGTACTATGCAATATTTTATCTACACATGGTATGACATTTTTGGCTACCATTAATAGTATGCCTTGCCTAAGATAAAAACAAATTGTTCAACATTACCAAATTATTTAAGAACACCGTAGGTATAAACTCCTATGCTTTGCATGGGCCTTCTTCCTAGTAAATTTGATAAAATTTAGAGGTCAACCGCAACCCAATTATGTTGATCCGTCCAAACTCGTTTACTAATAAATAGACTCGAGCATGCAATGAACACTAAATGGGTCTAACTAAGTGCTCAATCAAACTCATTTAATTGGTGGATAGTGAGATGGTTCGATTCATTCATTTATAACCAGTTAAAAATAATTATACATTTAAACTCAAATTTTAATGAGTATTAAGCAGATAAATTTGAATTTCCTACCATTCTAATAGTGATAAAAATGTCATTATTTTTTGTCAAAAAATAATCAAAATTTTTTAAAAAAATAAATAGAATTTTAAAAAATTTTAAAAATAAATAGAATTTCAAGTGACTCATAAATGAGTAATTGGGTACATCCATAACCATTTCTTAAATGAGTAATTATCCAATTACAGGTTCAAACCCGTCCGAATCATCTATTTTGACACTTTTAATAAAACTGGACCTATTCGGGTTCCCTTCCGAGCAACACACGCCGGAGGGTACAACATATATTCCTTCCAGAAATTGTGAAAATTGGCTGAGTTTCATTGAAAATGAGAGTAGGAAATAGATTTTCGTTTTTGGACTCGTGAAGATATCCCATTTCTTAAGGAGCTCTTCAAAAGAGAATGCCAAAAGTTGCTCGAGGTTTGAGCTTGTAGTAGACCAGCATACCATCCATTACGTCCACAAAACTCTTATGCTATATTGTGGTTGTGTTCGTTGAAAGCATATGGAAACAATTGCCTTTCGTTTAGAACATGATTTGGAGCTTTTATTTTTATTTATTATTTTTTGCCATTGATGTATTTAATTAAGCACACGCAATTTGCAAGCTATTCATCGTTTGATACATTTTTGTTACTCAATACCAATTACTATTATTGTTAACAGTTCTACGCACTTTACAATCAAAACTCAAAAGCAGTCAAACTTTTTTGCAATTTCGCGGATTGTTTTTCCTCCATGTGACAATTTCTAGGTCATACAATTCGAATAGTTTGGACCATATCCATATGTATGTTTTTTCGCCCTTTTTTCTTCATCTCTTTCCATCAACTTTTGGGTGGATGAGTACACTTTTGTCTGTGATTAATGGAGACTGGAAACTACTCATGTCATCATGCTGGATTAATACACCGTTTGTTGAAGTCAAAAGAACAGCATTAATTAGACGTCACAGTTTCCTGAAGGTAAATTTTTGTGGTGGAAGGATATCAAGAATGACATACTGAAATACCAGCCACCTATACCTTTTTCAACTAAATCATTCACGTAAAAGGTTCTGCCTCTTTCACCATCAGAAAAATGGTCATCAATTGAGTCCTCGTCCGATACAATTGAAAGAGGTTCTGAGATTGCTCAATAAATGCTTCAACTATCAAAATCATTTGCTGCACGCCGGATGGTGTATTAGGTGTAAATTTCACGATTAGAGTCTGCATTATTTCAAGGGAAACTTTTGTCGAGACCCTTATGAATAACATACATTCTAGAGATCAAGGACGTAGCAAATTATGCCTTTATCTAATATTGCCATTTGAGTTATTAAGTTTTGCTCTTACTGGGACTGATTGAACTTTATTCTTCCTATCATCTCAGGATGTACGATTTTGTCATGACTAAACCTGAATTGGAAAACATTCTGCGCATGTTACTTAACAGTAGAAGTATTTCTTCTCTGGATTATAGATACATACGGACGCATGCTGGTTTTGACATAGGTTTGTTTAAAAAACATTGTACAACCCTGCAAGTGTCTGATGCTATCCCAGAGTTCATTAGTTCAAGGAAGCGAAGCCAATTAATGGTCCAAGGAAAATGAAAAATGTTTTCAAGTAGTAATTATACTTCCCGAGAGAGAGAGAGAGAGAGAGAGAGAGAGAGAGAGAGAGAGAGAGTGTGTGTAAAGGCAATCCTGTATTGCCACGATAGGAGATCGTCGATGAGACTAGGACTGCCGAATCGAGTCGAGTTTTGACCTAATCGAACTAAGTCTTGACTTAATTTTATTGAATTCGAGCTCGAGCTCGAGTTCGAAAAAAATAAAAACTAAAAATTTAATTTTTAAAAAAATAAATAAAATAATATTTTGTCTTAATAAATAATAAAATATTAAGGATATATATGTAATTTTATACTTAAAATAAAAATATATATACTTAAAATAAAAAAATAATATATATATATATATATATATATATATGTTCGAGCTCGCGAGCTAACGAACTAAGTATTTTGAACTCGAATTCGAGCTCGATTTCGACTCGAGCCGCAGACGGCTCGATTCGGTTGTAACCCTAGATGAAACAATGGCAGTGCATTGTGGAGGCCTAGAAGGTTCGCAGAGCGAATTGTCGATTCGTTTGCAGCTCTAGATGAGACAATGACAGCGCATTGTGGAGGCCTAGAAGGTTCGCAGAGCGAACTGTACTCATCAAAACAGTATGCGGGAGATCACGTCCTCCGCGGTGCATCGATAATAAATAATATCCAAATATATGGATAATTTGTTCTCAATTTCTTGATCCAGTGAGCCTTTTAAAATATCATTGGGCCCTGGGCCTGGTGCGAGGCCCATTAGAAATAATATCCCAATAGATTGAACAATTGTTGGGCTACTCAACCCACTGGTACTGTGCATCCGTAGGGAGCCGACCTCTCCCGAGCGGCCAGTGGCCACCGTTTCTAGGATTACCATTTTGCGATGATTGCCTATTAAGCTAGCGCCCGTAACTAACTTCTTCCGGAAAGCTGGAAGTCAAGGTTAAGAATATCTGGGCAAATATTGCACGGCTCGACAGCGAATCCTATCGGTTTAATAGCTAGGTCCATTGCTTCCCTCAACCAACTCGTCATCCATTTGAATCGTTAAGAAATAAATTTCAACCGTGTGAAAACAGGCAATCATTAACTGATGACATGTGCAATCATTAACTGCTTCATTAACATTAATATATTCCTAATCTTTCTCATACTTGATAATTTCATGATGGACTGCATTTTTCACTTCCTCTTTTCATCTGAATTCAAATTGGTGCTAATTTCTTATACTTGATTACTTCTGCAAGGGGGAAGAGGGGGTGGTGGGGAAAGGGGGGAAAGGAGGGGGGCAGAGTGAATAGGAGGAGGAGGAGAAAGAAAATAATTAAAAAAAAAAATAGAGGGGAGGATGAGCTGGCAGCCGGTGGTGGCAGCAGGAAGATCCGTGGAGGTGTGGATGAGGAAGAAGATGAGGGGAAAGAAAGGACCGAACCAAAAAAAAAAAGGAAAGAAGAAAGAAAAAGAAAAAGGGAAAAATAATAAATTAGTTTTTCAAACACTCAAATACACAAATTCTACTCCCAAAAAACACGCCAAAGTTTTATAGAAACATCCAAATAAACACACCATCCACGAAGCCTTAGAAAAACCGTACACCTCAGGATTACAATAGAGGGAATTTTAACTATCCATCCAAGAGAGCAACGTTCCGTATCAAAAGATCACATTCTTAAAAGGATTAATTACACTTCGATATTCACACGACTTACAGAAAAGCTGGAGAGCAAACAAAAGCAACCTACCTACCGTTAGTCAAGAGCAGAGCAGGGGAGAATTACAAAAACAAAAAATTTGAAATATTACATCCTGCTCAGGGCTAATAATAATACTTAAAACACAAGAAGAGCCAGGGGAACCCAAGGAGGGAAAGAAAAACATCAAGGGAGTGCGACGGGAAGAAATGGCAGCCTATACAAGATTAGCAGACAAAAGTCGACACAAGTTGCTTTCTTGTTTTCCTTTCACCCAAATTCAGTGGTTCCCCAGAGGAATTGCCCAAACAGCTAGGGCTTCTTAGATGATTTTGATTTTGATTTTGATTTTGATTTTGATTTAGAAGTTGAAGTTGAATCTAGATAAGGTTGCTTAGACTTAACAGTCTTACCTTTGGTGGTGAATCCATCATCATCAGAATCACAATCACTTTCATCTCCAAATTTTCTTTTGGCTTTCTTCTCGGCCTTTCCGCAGAGAACAATCTTCCTTTCATCTATAGGCTTCTCAATTTCATGCTTCTCCTTTGGTCTCCAAATAAAGAGAGACCTGTGTAACGTACAGTTAACACTCAAACCATCACACGAAAATATCCAGTGCTTCAAACAAGGTTAGGACTCCAGAAACCTATAAATGTAAATTACATAATAATCTCTTTTGCACTATACCACTCAAAATATTTGACTGAAACTAATATATCTGAAACAGAATGAAATGGAAAAAAATGACTAAACAAATTTGTCAAATCCACAAAAGCTACATCTCAAAACAAGATCAAGACATGGTGGAGATACTACTCAAAAACTTTTTGACCATAACAATAAACGAATGATCAGCCAAGAAGGATCGATGACAAAAATCAAGCATCAAGTATTAAGTAGACGAGTAGATGTGAGCGCTCAATACAATAATTGTATTTTCACTTCCAATACGGGACAAACTCATCAAACATCCTAATTATGAGGCATAAAAATCATAGACTGGAATTTTAAATGACAATCAGAAGCAATCTATTATCCACATAAAGACGAGCCTTAACATAGATTGCAGAAGGAAGCACACAGATACAAACAAACCTTGCAAACCATTAACTGACACAAGTGAGGACATAATAGGATCCAAACCTTGAACTACCAGATGCCAAAATATCATCGCGTGGATGCAACTTGTTCACAGGACTGATAGTTGTAATGTTTGGATCCATGATCTCTGCAACTAACTGCCCTGTGCTGATGTCTATAAAATCAATAGGATGCAGAGCAGCTCCATTATAGTTTTCACTTATGTAACGTCCAATAACAACAAGAGACTCCGATTGGTCCTGTGCGAGTGTCTAACGTTAAAAACCTTTGCCATTTACTTCTAAGCAGTCATTTCTACACGTACAAATAAATGCTGTAAAGCTATGACCATTGTAGCTAACCTTTGGATCCCATTCAGCCCGAAAAGCTGTCAGATGTCGATTAAAATCATGACTATGCACAATCTCTCGACTTGGAGAATCAAGGCTTCCAAAGATGGAATCCCACACACGAATCCGGTTATCCTGTGATGTAGTGAGTATTTTACTACCAGTAAGTGGTGAAAAATATGCTGAGTTAACAACTCGTTTGTGTGGTAGATCAACAAGAGAGGATCCAGTCTCCAACTGCCGCATATCCCATATACGAGCCTGAAATGAGAAATATTTAGCAACAATGAACATGACCATTCACACAGAAGCCTGCTGCAATCATAAGCTTCACATATCATAAAAGATATTATCCATCTCCTATTCCAGTTTATTCATGTCAAATATACCTGTTTTTCTTAACAGCAACAGAGTGAAGATAGTGGTTTAAGCCAAAGCAATAAGTAAAATGTCACCAAAAGAAACATAACATGAATAAAATGGTAAAGAACCTTACAAAGTGATCATTCCCACAACTTAAGAGAAGATCTGGTTGAAGGGGATTACAGTGCAGACCAACAACTTTGCTTCCTTTCTTATGAATGAGAATAGGCTTCCCTGTCACATTGTTGGAGCGCATATCAACCCTGAAATTTTCAATTACAGATAAATAATCGCGGGCAAGGCAGTATCTTATAAGCAGACTAACATATAGATGAACAGAGATCTGCACATGAGAATACAATCTTTGTAGAAGAAACAGCTTGAAGAAATTTAGTAAGAAATGAAAGTAAGCATAACTGTCCTCCCTTCTTTGTTCTTGAAACTTTTCCCATTCCCTCATTTTTACTCACAACCAATTAAGTTGGGATTTCATTTATTGTTGACATGTTAGAACAACTATTTTTGGATATCTTGACCAAATAATTTCTGACTCACTTAGAAAATCGGAAGGAGAGAAAATTTGCAGAACCTTAAGATTGAGGGGATCTATGAAGAAGTGGGAGGAAGGAAGAAATCCACAACTAACCAGTAACACATTGATATCTCCAAATTCTGAAAATAACACTTGGAAAGCTAGACAACTAGGGCTAAGAAGCACCAAAAATTAAGGATACATTCATTCGAAACCATGGTGTTGATAGACTCAGTAAGCTTCCTACCCTGCTTAGTAGAACATGATCACATAATTCCTAATACACACTTTTTTCCAAGACTTAAAAGCGCACATAGTAGCGAGGGGCTTTTTTTGGGCTTTTCTCCGTCCATAAAGAGCTTTGAGCTGATGGCTCACAAGAGCTGTCAAAGGGAACAAATGGTGTAGACTATAGATCGAATATTAAAGCAAGACTTTTAGTAACAATTCATTACATTTATTAACCACATGCCTCGAATTTGCACAACTGAGCAAATAAAAAACTTCTTCTCACTCACACCTATGCAAAAATTCATTATCAAATGCTTCAAAAGATATGGTAGCCAGAGATTAATTTGTAACCACAATAGATAACAGAACTTATACATACGTATACAGACAGCCAAAGTTATCTGCAACAAGTACGACTCCTTTGTCCAAATTTATGTCCAGCCCATAAAGCATCCTCCAAGTGCTTGGACCCTAAAACACATCCATCAAAATCATACTCAGGAAACCCAAGAAAGAAAGATTGATATACATAACTAGCCACATTTTAGCAAATGCACCAGCAATGGATGCTCAAACTAGTGTTTTTCCCATCCCTAAAAATGGAGTAACATCATTTCACAGAACAGCAGCTCTCTCAATAAGGAGCACCTTGAGGATGATGCACTGTGTTCAAATCAAGTGAATAAGAATAATAATAACCGGCATATAAGTCATCTTAACTCTTTAAGTGTAACTAGTCAACTCAACATAAATTTTATCTCAAGCTTACAGTTGGCGAAATGCTTAAGCAAATTGAAGTTCTTAGTTATTTATTATACAACTACAGTGAAAAGTTTAAACCTGATACTGAGCAACAACAATAACAAGAACAACAAGGACAAGATAGAAAAGAAGTAAAAACGAAAAGTGGAATTAGGAAACTACTCCAGGTCAAAACTTGCACAAAACAAATAAAATGTGTTATTTCCAGTTATAAACCAATGTAGTACCTGCCAGCCATTAGGATTAAGGTTCATCAATGATAATGATATTCCAGTCTCCAAATCTACGCAACAAGCTGTCCCATCAGAAGAACCAGTATATACTGTTCCATCATTTCTTGGATTTAACCTACATATGTATCGTAATCAATCAATCCTTCCTATCACATTGTGAAATTTCACCATAAACCGTGTGTTTTAACAGGTGACACACGTACAAGGAAAAAAATTTATAAGAACTGGTAAAAGCAATGCTCACTTCATGTTGTTCAGTATACAACCATGTATTTCACTGTAGACAGTCTTCTCATATACCTTGCAAAAATCCCAAACTCCAAGTTGTCCTTTCTAAGCAAGATGAGAGGCACAATTCACTGATCACTAACTCATCCATAGAACAATAACAGTCAACAAACAGCAAAGAAAAGTATCAGAATGAACCCAGACCTTATCACCAGATAGGAGAATGTTATCATTTGTAGGATGGAACTCCAAGCATGTTACTCGTCTACTATGGTATCTTATAACCGCACAGTTTACTTGATCTGGAATGACAAATTCTGGTTTCATCTAATGCCAAAACCATGAAAAAAAGAAAATGAATAAACTTATATCCTTTTTTTTTGGGAGAACACATTTAACTAAGGCTCGGCCAACATACCTACCCACACAAAAATATTTTTTATAATTCAAAATCCAAAATCAACATGTTTAAGCATCGAAGAAAAACACAAATATGAAATCATCCAAAAGTAAATGCTAAATTCTACTATATCACAGCTAGAACAACTTTATTGAACATAGCGCTGAGAAGAAACTATCAAACAGAAGTTGTTGCATCATAAGCAAAGGTTTACTAATATAACAACATTTTATCATGGAGGCAGGCATCCGAAACAAAATTAAGGGCAAATTATGGCAAAATCAAGACACGGACTTGTTGAGCTATAAACCTATGTCCAGTGTACAAGTGATGCTTTCAAGCAAAGAATGCTCACTTTAGGAATATGAGGCCTAAGCTGGCGCTGGAACACATAATCCAATGAGCTATGGGTGTTTCTCCGAGGTGCTGGGACAACCCCGTACTCAGTAGCCACTCTGTGAGGGCAAGTCATCGTGGTGTGCCCTTGAATGGCCAAAAATCATCGCAACCAAAAAAAAAAAAATTTATGAGTTATTAGTGAAGTAACACCTTAGAAAGAATCATTACTATACAAGGTACAAAGAACTATTATTTGTCTGAAATGCAAATAAAGATAGTATTTCTACTCAATATGGTAAATCTCTCTAAAATCTAGCCACCACAAATCTGAAAACCTTCACAACACAACAAAAAACTCACACGTATATATATATATATGTGTGTGTGTGTGTGTGTGTGTGTGTGTGTGTGTGTGTGTGTGCGTGTTTTTTTGTTTTTGTTTTTTTTTTTTTCTAAGTATGCAGTTCTTTTATTTAAAACGGATAACCGTCAAATGATGTGAAATTTACACTTCTAAAGCAGTCTGAAGCAGGAAGAAGAAAACTATACCAGGCATTTTACAAAGAAAACACGGCTTCATTGGACAATCGATGTAAGTAGCGCCTTTAAAGCCTGCTTCATGACCTGTTCTCTTGCACACCTAATAAAAGTGCGTATAGAAACTCTTACTCAGCAATTCCCAGCGTACAACGACGAAAAGAGAGTTTAAATTTAGACTTCTAACAAAAATCATGAAATAAAAAGAAAAAGAAAGGTACGAGCATGAAGAAGCTTGCTTACTTTGCAGACTTTTTTGAGACTAATAGTAATAGGCGTTTTTTTCTTGGTCACTGATTTCTCTTGCTCTTCTTCTCCTTCTTCCTCATCAGCCTTCGGTTCAGTTACTTCCTCTTCTCCTACGACGTCGTCTTCTTCATCGATTTCATCCTCGTCAGACGAACTTTCTTCGGAGTCGGTGTCTCGGTCGATCACGACTTTCGGGAACGACGTTCTCCGGGTTTGTGGGGGCATTGTGGGGAAGTAAGCAAGAGCGAAACAGAGAACAGAGAGAATGTTGGCTTCGGGAAGCACGGAATTCGAAGCGGTGGTTCGCTCGTGCAGAGTGAACTGTGCAGACGGAAAAAGTTCAATTAATTTAGACCCAGTGAAAGAAGTCTTGACGGACGACCTTTGCACACTACAGGGCGGGGACGCTTGGATATGAATTGACGATTGTATCCTAGTGAATCTTCGGTACGGACGTCAGGAGTCCGGGATTTTCTCGACATTGTAATGTCAAGAAGGGCGGGAGATTACGTGGCCTGTTGTTAGCCCCACCTTTGGCCTTGTAGCCACGTGTTTCTCACGTGCCTCTCCGTAAGAATATGCTCTTTTTTTTTATTTTTGGGTTTTTTTTTAAAGAGAATTACCACAATGGTCCATACAATTTTGATAAATCATATTGTGTCTATCAGCTATAAATAAGATATACTAGCTTGAGTTTTTTAAAATTTTTTTAGCAGGGGAGGAGGCAAGAGGATTTGAACCTAGTTACTCTAATTTCGGAAGCCTAGCCGCTTGAGTTAATATGCACAATTAATGCAAATTAAAATAAGTAAACAACTAACAAATTGTTGTTTGGAGTGCAATTTTTTGAGAGGTTTTGTAGAAAATTTTACAGTAATTTTCAAAGATATAATCTATATTAGGTAAAAAAGTGATTAAGGAATATGATAAAGCATATTCTCATGGAAATCCAAAAAAAAATTTCTACAAAGAATGGAATCCAAACAAGGATCTAATTGGAAAGTGTATTTTTTAAGCGTTAATATAAAATCTTACTATTTGAAACGTGTATTTGAGGGTTTAAGAAAAATAACTTTTCTTTTTCTTCCTTTCTTTCCTCTCTTCTTCTTCATTTGCTCACACAATAGCAGTAGTGGAAGTTTCCTGTGGCAGTGCCACCACTGGCCACTGGTGGTTGGTTGCCGGCCGCTGCCTCTTCTATTGAGCAAAGTTTCACCCTCCACTCCATTTTTCACATGGAGTCCGTTTCCAGTATTAGTTTTCACAAGAAAACAAATAAAAATTAATCAACATCAAAAGCACAGCTAGTGTTAGGTTTTTTTTCTCTTTCCTTCTTCTCCTCCCTCTTCTCTCTTCTTCCTCAATTCTTTCCCCTTCTCGCGATCCCCACCTCCCTGTCCCAATTTGGACAAGAAAGAGGAAAAGAGAGAATAGAGGAAAGGAAGGAAAGCGATGGAGGTGAAAAAAAAAAAACAAAGAAAAAAAGGCGGCTACAATGTGGGACGGCAGTGGTGGAAGGTTAAGGTGAAATGATGGTGGTAGGAAAAAAAAAGGTGTGTGTTTTATGATATTTTGATATTTGTATTTTAAAAAATATAGGGTATTTTTAGATGTTGCTATAGACAAAATTATTTTAAAAAACTTTTATTATAAAAGCTAGGCAAAAAAACTAGGGTCCCAAATGGCGTCATTTGAAGAAGACGTGCGATAGATTTGTGCGGCAATAGCCAATTTCCATTCCCAAAAGTCTAGAGTACCGTGCTGATTTCTTAATCCATTCGAACTGAATTCAACAATGCATGTTAACCCACTCAAAAAGCGTGTTAAAAACAGTTTTATGACATTAAAGCGTGATTTAATTGCAAATTGAGTCACCGCCGTGCCAGAAGTTCAATTATGGTCTGGACTCTGGACCAACTACAGCTACTTAGCAAACCCAGTGATTTGTCTTTTGATCAATGAAAATGATGTAAATAATGTCGTGGAACCCATTAATTTCAAATCAAATACAATTAATGACGCGCTTGTTTGTCCAATTAGTAATAAGAATCTGATCAGTGACTAAATATTGGACTTGTCAGGTAGTTGGCTTAAATGTAATGAAATTTCTGGTGGGTCATGGATAAAGGACAGGAACGGTTGCAGGTTTTTGTCATTTTTAACAGCGCGTAACTTTGGTTGCACACGGCATAACTTTGTTTGTACAACATATAACTTTAGTACAAAATTTTGCAGATTTCACACACGTTATGAAAATCGATATACAACTAGTGATCTGGATCGCACATTTCTTTTCGGCCAAAATCTGACCGTGAACAGTTCAAGCGCGGTCATCAGACACTCTTCCGATGGGTCATTGGTTTTCATTTGGAATTTCTAATCAGTCCCGCTCCTAGTAGTCCGTGTGAAATCTAGCTTAAGAAGTTCCGTTACAAACTGGCCCACTAGAAACCGGCTATGGACTGATCTGCTGGTATCTTCATTGAAATGCTTACGTGTTCCTGCACTTGATGAAGACGGGATGATAAGAAAGGAAATGTTTGTATTAGATTGATGAAACAGTGTCGCTTATATAAAGAAAGATGTTGTGTTGAGACTGTTGAGGAGCCAATCTAGATGACGTCACCCAATCCAATAAGAAAAATCTGCCATGCAAAGCAAGCACTCATTGCTGAAGAAGTGGAAAATGCTTCCGTTTCTTTTTTTTTTTTTTTATAAAATAAAAATTTTGATGAATTCGATTCCAATTACTATCACGAATTATTGGCGGGACATTCTTATATATTTGTTCGCTAACATATTTTTTTAATAGCGAGATTTGAACACATATATTTTTTTTTTTGGTAACAATTAGTCCATCTTTGCTAACCGAGCGGACTGGTGTTGGCGAGTAATGCTTCCATGATAATCAGCTGCGGCCGCCATTTTTATGATTATGAAAACCAGGGACTGAGCCTCCAGGCGTCTCTTCTCCTCTTCCACCGTCCTACTTCCCTTCCAGCAGTCAGCCCAGCTCTATAACGCCACGTCATAAATTAATAAAACTATATTACCCTCCACATAGGGTTGTCGTCCTCCCATTGGCAAGCGGCAACAATAAAAAACACATCAAAGTCAGGAGATTGCAATCCATTTGGCCACCTACGTCGATGTGACATCAACAGACAGGAGGATAAGACCACTTGCCAAGCAAAACCGAAGGATAAGGTCGTCATTAACTGGGCATTTAGCAGGCACGAAATGACGAAAGTCACAGACACTAGAAACAAAACCCCGCCTTTTTAAATATTTTCCTAATCAGGGGATAGTGTAGAAAGACTTTAGCGGTTTACAAAAACGCGGGTGCAGTAGGCTGCGCCAAAACAGCTGGGGAAACGGATGATGATATTTTCCTAAGGTTTATCTTTATATATTCTGGGGTTTTTTGGCTGGGAATTTTTACGGGAGTAGAATTTAACGGAGATGGGGAAGTCATTTAAGGATTCTCTTAAAGCTCTTGAAGCAGATATTCAGCTCGCAAATACTCTGTAATTCAACTTCCTTCTCTGTCTCTGTCTCTGTCTCTCTTTTTTCCGACTGTCTTTTTTCAGCTATTATTTCTTATTTGTCGGTGTTTTTCCCCATTTGCTTTTTGGTAATTATGGGAGAACAGAAGCGGTTACATAAAATCAGAACCTGTTTAAATTCGATGATTGTTGCCCAACTATGGGTGCATGGTTTCTTGCGAGTTTTTTTTGAGTGATTTTGGTATTTATGGTTTTATTTTGAGTGAAATTACATGGGATTATTATTGATGACCAAGAATTTTGCTAAGTCAACTGTTTTTTGCATTTATGCTTTGGGAAGCTAGCCAAATTTTTCAAAGGGTAGTTGGAATTTTTAATACACTACGCATGTCAGAGTCTTCCAGGGATTGTAAAATTTCATTTGTCTTTGATGAATAGATTATTTATTTTGGTTTGACACTTAGCAATCAACCATTGATTATGAAATGGAGTATCTAGTCCAAGGATGGTTTGAGTAATGAAGCCCTGCATTTCTTGTAGCTTGGTTGAAGAACTTGTTTTCACTATTTAGATCACTTGTTTGATGCCCAAATGCCTGCTCCATTGCAACTTACATGGAATATCATGTTTAACCTGCAAATATGAAAAAGGGTACAAAATTGTTGATTCGTCCTAAGCAACAATTGGCAAGCTGGCCATTTTATAGACTGAAGCAGGGTCGTTATGAGACCAAAACAAGAAGGAATTCAATCTTGTGCTTTGTCAGTTTATGTGCTTTCTGTCATTATTGAATTAATGATACCCCGTGGTACTTAGACGTCGAATTGTAAATCTACTACTGATGGAGGTTGTTGTCGTTACAGTGCAATTTTTGTCTATATCTTTTGCTACAAGGATGCAAGTTTTTACTCAAATTCATTCTGGCAGAGTTCCGTAAATTTCTATCATGTCTTCCTGTCCAGGGCTTTGAGTTATCCAAGGGAAATTGATGGAGCATGCCTTCAAATGCGGCTCTCTTATGCTCCACCTGCACATATCTTCCTTTTTCTTGTTCAGTGGTTTGATTGTCAGCTTGCTGGCGCTCTTGGCTTGCTTCGAATTCTCGTATCTATGGTAAATCCCTGTTTATTGTACCTTCATATTGTAGCCTTGCTGTTCTACCTGTATCTGGTGCATGCTAATCGTCCTCCAGCCATGTTTCCTCGAGTAACAATTGTCTTTGAACACCAAAGTGACTACATTGTTACTTTTCTTGTGGGTTCTGACAAAATGATGGGCTTGTGCAGGCATATGCAGATGGCAGACCTGCTATGTCTAGTTATGAAAGGAAAGCAAGCATCAGAGAATTTTATGGTGAGTGATAGCTCAAAGGATTATTGTTATTTGATATTCCTTAAGTGGGGACTATTCTTTAGATACTATAAGGTGTATGCTTCTTTGCCGTAAAAACAGGTATAATTTTTCCTTCTTTATTGCAACTTCAAAGAGGGATTACAGATTTGGAAGACAACAAACAGAAAAAGATATGTTCACTTAAGTACTCAAGAAGGGATGAAATGGATCGTGGAAAAATATCTGAAATTGATCTAGAAAGAGAAAAGGAATGTGGAATTTGCATGGAAATCAATGGCAAGGTTGTGTTGCCTTATTGCGGCCACTCTTTGTGCCTAAGGTGTTATCGTGATTGGTAAGTCTGATTCTTTTCTTCTGATTCTGTTCTTGGAACTTTGCAAAATTTAGCATTACCATTCTTGGCTTCCTGGTAAATTGAAGTCCACTAGCCTATTTCCCTCGGGGCTTTAGAATTCTGTGCTGCAAATGATTTCAATGTCATTCAGCAACTGCTTTATTTCCCCCCCTTTTTGGGCTGCTTTATTTGATACCCTGCTATTGAGTGCCCCATTCCTGCCCCTTCTGCTTGTTTTCCACGGGGTGCCTTGGCATTTCATTGCAGATGTAAGACACATGCTTGCTGGTGCAGGGTCTACTGAATCAGGGAGGTCCATATACGAAATGTGCAATTATACATTTTTCCATTTAGAAGCTTAAAATTCTAGACAACTGTGGAAGGTTTTTCTGTCCAATCCAGTTATATTTGGGCCTTATGCATCTTTTTAAATTGCAGGAGATTGATTGCTGATAATCTGCTCTCTGTTTCTTTTTTTTTTTTTTTCTTTTTGGTAGGAGTTGATAATCTACTTTGGTTGAGAACTATATAAAAATTTTCATTGGAAAAGTTGCTTGGCTCTTGACTTGATTTTCATATTTTTCTCAGGCGTCGCCGCTCTCAGTCCTGTCCCTTTTGCCGGACCACTCTCAAACGAGTGAATTCAAGTGACATCTGGATCTGCACTGATAGCAGTGAAATTGTTGATTTATCTGTGATTCTGGAAGAGAATTTGCAGAGGCTGTTTATGTTCATTGAAAAGTTGCCCCTTCTTCTTCCAGATTCATTGTTAAACCAACACAATTTCGCTATTAGGTGACTCGGTTTCATTTTCTGTACATCAAATCGTTGTTCTATAAAGTTCAATCCATTTACCTTGGAGAGAGTTTCGGACCTCCTGCTTTTGCTTGGACTAGCTTCTGGCCTTTTCTTATTTAACCCGTAAGGGTTAGAAAGAGATAGGGTGGTATATCATTTCCGAAAGAAAAATGATTTTCTTTTGAGGAACGGTAAAAAGCACGAAGGATGTAAATTGGTTTTCTTTTGGCTATGATGATGCGATAGTGACTGTTGGGTGAGATGCAAATGCTGATGATTGACGAACTAATTGTGGTGGAAGAAGTTCCAGAACTTTTTGTGCAGATTTCATTCTAGTTTCTTAACTTAAGAACGAATCCATTGAAAAGAGCATCATAGGAGGATCAGATAGTTTAGACTTTAGAGATTAGTATTGTATATGTTCTCGATATTTCTTGAAAATTTGTGTTTTATTGAAAAATCTGTCCCCAATTGTTTTACACCTGATTAAAAGCGCAATGACGTGAGTTTGGTTGGATACTTGGATTTACCTAAAAAAGTACCTCAAGAACACTTCTTTGTGTTTGGAGACAGATTTTTGTTAAAACTTACTATTTTAGGAGCAAATTTTGGTTTTCGTCAAATTAAAAGTTTGTATTGACACTTTCATTTTTTCTATTCTTGTTCACAATTGATTCGTTGCTTTTTTAAGGTATTCCCGGACCATACTTCACAGGGTGCTTGAAAACTTCTAGATTTCTTGTGTCTCATGCCTGTCTCTCGCACTCGAAATTCAGACCAACCAAGTATAGTGGTTCTGACCAACCCCTTCTATATATTTTTTCCCTTTTTTGGGTGTGTAAGTGTGATCATGTGCATATGGCATGGCGGTCCCCTCTTCAAATTAAAAATAATTTAAAAAAAAAGCCAAGAATAATTTGGGCTAGTCATATCATGCTGCCCACGTACAAAATCCTATGTTTTCAGAACCGGACCGGATAGCGACTCGGCCGAGGTCAGGGGTCAGGGGTCAATGGGTTCGACCGGGGTCGATAGGGGTCGAACCGGATGACGTCATAAATAAAAAATTATTTTAAAAATTAAAATATTATATATATAATATCTAATAATATATTGATATTAATAAAGGCATATTCATATATATTTGATGTTTCAAATTATTTAACAAGAAAATACAAAGAAATTAGAACAATCAAGTAGCAATTTATATTATTTAATAAATATTAACAAGTTTAGAATTAAAATTATGAATTTAATTGAAAAATAACATCAAATTTTAGGACAATATTTATAAAGTATCAAATATTTGAGCTATATCAATAAGTTTTAACAATTTAGGGGGTCAAAACATAATATTAAAAAGTTTGAATTTTTTTAAAAAAAAATTACTGTTGAACCGGAAAAACCGGTTTTTTCCCGGTCAAACCCGGTCAAACCCGGTTTTTGACCGGCTTTGACCGGATTTTAAATTTCCGGTTTTCTAATGTGACTCGGACCGGCTACCTGGCCGGTTTCCGGTTCGACCGGCCGGTCCGGTCCGAGTCTGAAAACAGAGACAAAATCTTCTCATTCTTTCATTTTCCTTTGCCCGTCATTCGTTGCCAGCTCAGTCCACATTCCCTGGCCCCATTGGTCAAGTACGGAAATTATAAAGACAATAATAATGTGTAAAAGAGAAATAAAGAACCAATTGCTCCCAGTGGAGTTGGTCACTAATAAAGATTTAAAACTTTATATGAATTTAGATCAAGGGATTTGAACATCCAGACCTTTTTTGACTTTTCTGATCTACATTTTGATTTGACTTTCTTGATCTACATTTTAATATCCCGACTTTCCTAAAAATATTTTTGTCAGCGGATGCATAGGCACTTATCTAAATCAATCGTGATTCATTGGATTTTTTTTTTTTTTGACCTCTTTAGGTCCTCCTCCCCTTAATGTAGAATAGGAGTTGTTATAACACAGAATCGTCTGAACCTCTTTAGGTCCCCTCTCTCCCTAGTATAGGTAGTGTAGAAATAGTTTTAGTATAGAAGGACTAGTGGTGATTTACCGGATTTTCCTTGACTTCTTTAGATTTCACTCCCCTTAGTATAGAGTATGAGTAGTTCTAGTATAGAATCATTCGGATCTTTTTAGGTCCCCCTCTCCCTATTGTAGAGTAGGAGTAATTCTAGTATAGAAGGATTTTTCTTGACCTCTTTAGGTCCTCCTCCTCTAATGTAGAGTAGGAATAGTTGAGTTATATTGTACATGTAAACTTGAATCAATAGACAATTAATTGAATTGAAATCAACAAAAGGTATCGCTTAGAAAAGCATTAAAAGGTTTGGAGGAATAAAATCTTGAAACGTTGATATTCATACAGTTGATGATCATCCAACTAACTCACCCAAGACTCAGAAGACAAGAAGAAGAAGAAGAACAATTTATTCGTCATTTTGCAGCCGCGCGCATTCAGCGTAAAATCGAGGTCCTGTTTCCTTCTTGTTGGAGAGCGTTGTAGGCGTATCCTCCATGGCGGGAGACGTCCAGACCAGCAACCTCCTCTTCCACAGATATCCTTAAGATTTTCAGCTTGTGCAGCGTATAGAACATGGGCCCCATTGTGATACTAACCCAGCCAAAAATGACTAGCAGTTCAATGACTTGGGCTCCAAGCAGGCCCCAGCCACCTCCCAGGAGCAGCCCATAAGGTCGCGAGACACTGCTGTCGCCTGAATTGTATGCTTGAATAATAAATTCCTCTTTCGCAAATAAACCTGTAAAAATCACCCCCCAAGCCCCACAACCTCCATGGAGTTGGGCTGCCTCCAGTGGATCATCAAATCCAAGTTTCAAACACAAAATATTAAGTCCAATCAAGACCCAAGCTGCGACGAATCCGCAAAATATTGCAGCCCATGGCTCGACAACAGAGCAGCCAGATGTAATGGCAACAAAGCCACCAAGCACTCCATTGCAAACATCCAGTGCATCCCAGTGGCCTACCAGTATCCGCCGGCCGAACAGGGTGACAATTCCCGCAGTGGATCCAGCCAGCGTGGTCGTAACGGCTGTCCGACTGACCCCGGTCCAGTTACCCTGATCAGAAGTATTTGGGTAAGCCACGAGTATTTTATCAAAAGAACCTGGATTGAACCCAAACCATCCAAACCACAACAAGAATGTGCCCAGGACCACCAAAGTTGAATTGTGGCCTCTCATTGCCACGGGCTTACCAAAAGCATCAAACCGACCCACTCTCGGGCCCTCTATCAATGAACCCCAAAGCCCAGCAACTCCTCCTACCAAATGTACAACCCCGCTCCCGGCAAAATCAATGGCGCCAGAACCAAACAGCAAGGGACCGGAGGAGCTGGGACTGAGCCAGCCGCTGGATGACCAAATCCAACGAGCAACGATTGGGTAAACAAAGCCAGTAAGGAAGAAAGAGAAAATGAGGTAAGCAGAGAACTGAGTTCTCTCGGCAATGGAGCCACTGGTTATCCCAGCCACGGCTATGGCAAAAGCCCATTGGTAAAGAAAGAAGCTATAGCTGTAAGAGCCCGAAGGAATGCCTTTAAGGGCAAAGAATTCGGTGCCTATGAAGGGGTTTGAATTGGATCCATCCCCGAAGGCGAAGGCAAAGCCGAAGAGATAGTAAGAAATGCTGCCCACAGCTGCATCGACCACGTTTGTAAGCATGATGTTCATGGCATTCTTGGCTCGGACTGAACCAGCGCATAGCATGGCAAAGCCAAGCTGCATGACGAAGACCAAGTAGGATGAAAAGAGAAGATAAATGGTGTTTATTGAGGATGTAACACTGTCTTCCCAAGACACCTCCATCGCTCTGCGCTCAGTGCGTCTTTTGTGTGTGTGTGTGTGCGCGATAGGGCGAGAGATGGTTGGTGTTCAAAGAAATGAAGAAGGGTAGCTATTTATGCAGTTTGCGAATGTCACATCCATAATACAGTTGAATGGTAGCGGAGGAAAAGACGTGTGCTGTAGGCAGTACCCTTTAATTTCAGGACTAGTGTCATCAGTTTCGTTCTTTAAATTCCAAACTCAATACCTTGAGTCCTACTATTATCTAGTAGGTATTTCATTCTCGATCCCTATAAATTTCCAATCCCAGATCTTAGAAGTACTAATTGTGTTAAAAATTGAGCTTCATGCCTGTATTGATTGTTCTAACTGCAACTTTGACCCAATTGGTTTATTTGACAGAAAGCTTCTGTTCTTCATAAAGATTCAGAAAGATGAAGCTTCATGCCTTCATCTTTTCTCGTGCTTCCATGTAAATCATTTGATAAAAAAAAAAAAAAAAAATACCATGCTGGCGGCCCACTAGGTTGTATTGATTGTTGACGTCTCACGTATTTTGCTTCAGTGATTTTGGTTGGTATGGATAACGAGAAACTCAGCCAAGAAAAGAAAGTAGTATTACACAGTGATCGTACTTTTGTGAATGGACTTTTCAAACCTTACAAGACGGAAGAGATCGGCTAAGTTGACTTACATCATAGATATCTCATAACTACCTGTTAGCGTATTAGTACTGTCTCTATATGTTAACTACATAATCTAAGGAATGGGATTGGATTTTTCTTTGATAACCACCCAACTCCCTCACCTTCAACAAATTATGACGAATTTTTGGGACAAGAAGGAATATTGAAAGTGGAATGATTTATTTCAGCAACTATTTGCGCTACGCAACAATCACTCGTTCAATTGCAAGTCCTGAGATTCCTATAGGTATACAGTGTATTGCAATATTAAACGGCGCGATTTGCTTAATAGGGTGAATTTGCCGTGCGTGACGAATTCCGAATGTAATACTTAATATATACATATGATACATCAATTCAAATATGTATAGACAGCACAGGGCCAATTAGAAAGTTTCCAGGTAACGAGCGTCTACAGCGGCAGTTCTGGTGGTGAGGGACGGCTTCATGATGACAATGGCCGATTCATTTGCGCCAGCTCTCAGAGCAGCCCTTCCAGCTTCCAGGAACCTCTCAACTGCATCCTCGGCGTACCTGTTTGCTTCACCAACGGTCATGCCTTTTCCAATATCCGGGTATGCGTTCAGTACATGATCTCCATTGAGCTGTGATGCAAGCTGGATCAACTCGAGTTGAAATTCAGAGAGTTCAACATCTTCCCTTGGACCCCCTGGCCTCAAACTCTGCTTTACCTCTGGGAGTTTCTCTGAACAGCCATCAAAATTTTCCACAAGAAATTAGGATATTTCCAATCCTTTAAAGCCATAACGTCATCATCACCATATTCACTAACAAACCAGTAATTCAGTTGAACAATGAAATTCCTACAAGACTTGTCACCTTTTCAATTGTTATTTAAAATCAAGCAAGAATGCAGACACTTTCTCTATTATTCATTATCTGTTTTTGTTCTAGGGGCGGCAGAAAGGATATCGTAGAGGAGGTTAGAAAAGACACTACTGAAGCCATAAGCTCAAGACTCAAGGTCACTCCTTTCAGGTCTGACAACGATTGCCTTCGTGCCATTTGGAGAGAAGGGTATGGTATCAGGTATAAGGTCCATTTGAGTTTGACTTCAAAGTTCCAATTAATTAGGAGCATGGATCTATCGATCTATGCAACCCACGACATAAACTACATCATCTGCATGTCAAATCACCTCTCTGCATTTCTCCAGTTTAAACCCAATCATACATCTATTAATGTGCCTGCATTTGCTCTCAGATTTGTCAACGGCAAGTATTGTCTAACTTAAGCCAATAATTGCAATAATCTCAGGCATAGTTCATGATCATCCAAAAGTATAAATTAAAATATAGAACAAAACAAGCAAACCTGGACAATCATCACGTGGAGTCTCACGGAGCTTGAAGGCATTTTCAAAAGTTCCAGCCCATGCATCCCTTTTAGTCAAGAAGTTTGATTTTAAGTTGAAAAGTTTCTTTACGGTAGCAGGAATAGATGAGTGTTCAAACTGTGACTGTGGAGTTGGACCGTTGGGCTCGTGTATTACTGCACCATAACAAATGAGGTCAGGTTAAATGCGAGCTCCACATGAAAACTATCAGCATCAACCTTGATGCTCAGCAGAAGACCAATCAGACTCATAAACTAGATGTAGTATATAATAAAAGGGTTGAGGATGCATATTCAATTACTCAATGGTTACTCAAGGTTCTCTTCGTTGACATAAAGGGAACTCCAGAGACTATACTTGAGAGCAGATTAACAAATCCAACAGAAGTAACCAAGAATTTGGACAACACATTGTGCTAGGGTCTACAGACAAAAGAAACGAGCCACACAGCCCTCAATCCCCCCCCCCCAAACACACACACACACACACACACACACACACACAAACCAAAAGAAGGAAAAGAAAAAAGTGGGTTCAAAGGGAACGGGAGAAGGGCGAGGTATAGTTAACATATGTGTTGCAGGATTTCAAATGAGTCAAGCGACTCACAAACACTTGCCCTTTGTACAGAGGTAAACTCAAAGTTTATTTGGTCATGTATGATATTCAATCAAACTTGCATACCTTTCTTCTAAAAATAAATAAATGATTATCCATGGCACTAGAAGCTGTTTATTCATGTTTAGGTTCTTGGTAGTTTTATAGAACCCCCGTCACCCTTTAAGAAGATTCTAAATCCAGTATGATGCCAAAAAACTTAAAATTTGGGCTTCTTAGATTTTCAAGCACAGTAACACTCTTTTCGTACCAAGAGCCTCATAACATTCAATTTAAGTAATGACAACTGAAATTCAACTTAAAACAGAACTCCACGCACACGTTAGCTTTAACTACGTTGCAAATGCCAGTGAGTTGGCTTCTGCAGATAAGTTTATAAAAGGATCACTAATGCCAAAGAGTTTTGGTAATAATTATCGGCTGATATTGAGCATTATTTCCTGCAAGAATTATCAATTACAGCTCACACACCAGACCTGCACACCTCAAATTATAGAATTTCACACCAAACATATGCACGTCAACTGATATCTCACGAAAGCTAACTAAATCCAACAATCATACAGAGAGCAAGAGTGCAAGACAAGCAATGCAATTCAATGCAGAAAGAAGGAAAACAAACTAACCAGTTCCCTTATCAATCCAGGGCGAGATCAACAGTGTAGGCACGCGAACACCCAATCGATCAAACGCAAAATAATAGGGGTCCGGCCCAATAATCCCATCAGGATTAGGCACCCCTTCAACAGGGGTGGGCACATGATCATAAAACCCGCCATGCTCATCATAAGTAATCAACAATGCCATTTCTTTCCACTGAGGACTAGCCCTCAAGGTCTCGTATACCTCCTTAACAAATTTCTGCCCCACTGCCACGTCATGCGACGGATGATCATCGTTAGCCGGCACTAGGTTAACATCAAAGTATCTCTGCTCAATCACCACGTAATTCGGAAGCTTCCCTAATCTGGCGTGCCACTTAAACTTTAATCCGTAATAATGAAACTTAAATATATGTTTGAGCTTTCTCAAGCTCTTGAAGAAGAGTGTAGCTGGGATGTTCTGGTAATAAATCCCAAACGTGAGGTCATTTTCGTCCAACGAATCAAAAATTGTTTTTTGTGGAAACCCATGAATTAAATCCTTCCTTACGTTACTCGATGCTCCGTGGGAGGTGGCTGAGTGAACGTAGAACCGATTCGGCTGAGTTGACGCGGGCACCGACGCAAACCAGCGGTCCAACACCGCGAACTCGTTTGCTAACTCGGCGTAAACCGGCACGAGCTCCGGTTTAAACCCGCTCATGACGGTTCGCGACATCCCCTCAACGCCCATGCTCTCAGCTTGCTGAACGAACCCGTTCATGGGTGCCGGGTTGGCCGACGAATCGTTGCACCCGAATATTTGTTCCCGGATGGCTTGAATGGAGTGACCGGGGTCAGAATCGACAAAAACGGCGTTGTCGGTGACGTAATACTTAGCAGAAGTGGGGTCGGAGGCGTTGAGGTGGTTGAACTCGGAGCCAGTGAGGCCATCAATATCGGGGCGGGCCTTCTTCAGCCAGCCCAAAACGTGGTCGAAGGAGCGGTTCTCCATGACCAAAATGACGACGGTCTTAATGGGTCCATCAATCTTGTGTTGCTTTTTCTTGAAAGGAAAGGAGAGTGAAGGAGAAGGGATTAAGACCAGATACAGCAAGAAGAAGATGGTTAATTGGGCAGACAATGTTCGTTTAACCATATTTACCCGGCGATCAGCAGATTGCCGGTTGGACCGACGCTCGGACAAAGCAGAAGTCAGCCCGGGGGGTGGTTGCAGTAGTTGTTGTGGGGGACGGCGGATGGAGGAAAAGGAAGAAAAGGGGATGAAAGGATATTAGATTGAGGGGTTAAGACTTTATTATAGTAGTTGTGGCAGTGGTAAATACAGTGACGTGGAAGACATGGCTATCTCTCCTCCATTGAATGTGAATCTTGAGGAGGTATAGGTATATGCTTGATGAAGGTGGTTTTCGACGGCGTCAATGTCTTTGGAAGTTTTCTTCAGTCTTTTTTATTTTAGCATGGGAAGTTTGATAGAGATTGCGGGAAAATAATTGTTTTGTCATCCAATCTAACTCTTGTCAGATGTCATTTATATGTTTCCTCTTTTTTTTTTGTTCCCTTTTTCTTCTTTTGAGAGGAGACCTCGTTTAAATCTACTGCTAACACAGAGTATTATTTGAAATATTATTTAAAATAATTATTATAGCATTTTGTGTGATGTGATATACGTGAGATAAAAAGTTGATTGAAAATATAAAAAAGTGAGTTGAGAAATGTGTTTATGATGCAAGCGAAATATTATTTGAAATAATATGTGTATCCAAACAAACCCTTTGTTTACAAAATGGATTTTATTTGTGGATCTACAAAATACATCTAATTGTACTCTGTAAGTGTTTCTTGGGACATTCTGCTATAAAATTATTTCTTATTAATATTCGGATGAAAATAATTCAGATGAAAAATCGAAGTGATGGACTAAAAGATAATCCACTTTTTTTTTTATTTTGGGATTTCCAGTCTTTGTATTTTATAAACGAAGTAACAGACTAAAAGTTAATTCGCTTTCTTGATTTTAGGGATTCATATTTGTATTTATAAATGACATAAGTGACGAAAATAAACTAAAGAATAACCAACCTTCT